TCTTACAACACCTGGGAAAAGATGTAAGGTGATGCTATTCTAAGATGGCACCACACGGCTAAAAACTCCATAAAATATCAAACCTCGATATTCGACAGCAAAATCACAGATCTATTTACAACAAGAGAGCAACTTCACTCCGTCTGAAGTTTCTCTATTGCATTATTCAATTATTGAAGATGGCTGGCGCTCTTAGAATTTTCAATGCCGTCTTAAAATGTTTTTAAAATAATTCGAAAACAGAAATCAGTCTTTTAAATCAAGAATACATTTAGTTATTTTGTTTTTTTAAGCGGCATCAACAAAGGACAATTTTGAAAATGTCAGGGTTGGAGAATATACGTAGCAATAAAAAAGAAGATCGATTCAGATAGTTAGGGTTACTGTAACGGAATATAAGGTTACACTTAATATTTTCAATACCGTTTTGAAAAGTTTTTATGAATCGAAAACAGAAATTCTGTTGGATCCTTAATTTAAGAATACTTCTTGTTGAAAAGTATAGTTTTCAAAATGAATCGAATACAGAAATTCTGTAATCGGATCCTTAATTTAAGAATATTTTTTGTTGAAAGTAGTATTTTGTGCAATATTATTAAGTATTTAGACACTTATCTTACGATTGCGTTTAGGTTAAATAATTCACGACTGTACTGCGTTCATTTAAAACTGTGTCCCAATGGGAATGTGTCGCTATGAAACCAAATCTCTTTCTTTTAAACCGGCCAAGAGCTTGTCAGGCACGGCCCACAAAGCCCCCACTTGCAGTTGATTTTTTTACATCCTTTATAGGCAAATAATACATGTCACGCTCTCCAGAACATGGTGATGTTTGATACTGATAGTTCACTACTGACACAAAATAGATATGGCTGTTTCATTGAACCGCCAGCCATTTTATATTAAATAGTCTTAGACAGCGACCGTGCCCTCTATAGCACGAAATCTTTGCCTGTTGTGAAGTATCGATGATTTAACTTGCTCTCCAAAGCACGGAACGACATCGGTTCAAATGTGTTCCAATTCACAACATTTTATCTTTTCTTCGCTCGTTTTTGTTGGTATCTGCGGAATTAGCTCCACAAAAACCGGGCAGGGCGCCAAACTGTCGATATGTTTAACCCCTTTTAGCTTTGTACAATATCACATACACACTCATATCATGTCTTTAGATGACTTGTGGGGTAGGTACAGATAAGATAAAATAGACATTATAGCACAAAAAAAACATAAACAGAGAGAAATTTAAAATAATGGCGACCTTATAGCTAATGTAGCTATATCTTCCAGGCAACCGGGCGTTACAGCGTAAGCAGCCGTAAAAATATGGTCATCATCCTTTGTCAGACGAAATCCGATAAATCGTATATTTCTAGCGAGTGTCTAAATTGTAATAAGCACTTGAAACCCTCAAGACGTCCTTTAGTCGTTTCTTACGACAACTGCACCAAAGAAATGTGTTGATGCTTTACTAAGCTGGCATCATACGGCGAGATTAATTACATACATAATGCACATATCACGCCTAAATCCCATACAGAGTAGGCAGAGCGTAAACGGCTGTATAAATTGGTCATTTACACCACATCTGAAAAAAGATTGAGAGTCATTCAAAAACTGTATATCACTAATATAACGGGTTGTTAGCCTGTCGCCTAAAACTCTCAAATCCCTTTACTTACGACACCCACGGTTAAGATATGGGTTGATGCTATTCTAAGCCGGCACCACACGGCGAAATTAACCCGAAAGCGGGCGGGGCGCCGAACTGTCGATATGTTTAACCCCCTTTACCCTCGTATGTTATTTATGTCCGTTTGCTTTTTTCTTCCTTGAACAAACATCGGATTGATTTAGTAACAATACGTGATGATGATAACAATCAGGACCCGAATTCTCAGTTTTTTATCCATTGTATTTCTAGTAACACACATTTGGCATTCCATTTGTTCTACTATGTGAAGTTCATTCATAGTGTCATGACCAAGTTATTGCGTCCAGCGTAACTTTTCTTCCCACTTAAGCAAGTGATGTCATTTCATGACATTATGAATGCGAATGGGCTATGTAATTCAAATATTGAGAGATACAGAAGCATAAACCTCAGTATCTTTGGCCAGAAACACACGGTAACGTCCGATTATATGTGGTTTATTAGTTTTTCCCAAGTTTTTCCACCTTATTTTCATACGAATACGGTTTATGTCAAACGGATTGACATCCGTCGATGCAGCGTTGTGCGATGCCGTTTGACATAAACAGTACAAAATGAATGACGCACAAACGGACGTAACCCTAAATATAAAATCAAATGAGGTTAAAAAAGAAATTACGTTGTTTGCGATAAAAAACATTGTTGATTATTCATTATAAAAAATACAACGGCGTAAGTGTCACCCCTTTCAGCCCTTTCTGAGACACCCTGTATGGCAGCCTATTTAGGACAAAGATATTACTTACAATTCCAGCCTTAGGACACAAAAAACATTTCTACGTATGTTATGAGATCCTTTGCTTATCTTGATAAAAGGGAGAAAATAGGTTGATCCCTTTGTTTGTGAAAACAGAGCCAAGTATGTCAGATATATTTAACCATATCAAAATACGTCTCGATGGAAAATGAAACATGTGAAGCTACTCTGTAGCTAATAATAGGTCTGAGAGGTTAAAGACCTACAGTATAGTCATTCGAATAGGCCATGTTTGACAGTTGTCAAAATCATGTTTCTGTTATTATAATATAATATAAGGTCTGTTTTTCTTTGTTGACATGTTTGCTAGTATGCGCCCAATTCGAATGACCGTACTTTAAAACAATTATGTCACGCCTCTGGCACTTACGAGGTACGCAGAGCGTCAACGGCCGCACAGCCGACGCGGTCGTATAAGCCACGTCTGAAATTTTTTAAGTGCCTATTATTGGACTATCCTAGAATTTTATTAATTTATTTGGGGTCGGCGCAACATGTCTTTTTCTTCCATTCATCTCTATCAGCAGTCAAATCCTTTTTGCATATGATCTTTTATACAATCCTTCCAAACTTTTTTAAGCCTTCCTCTTCAGCTAATATTGTAGCATATTCCTATCGCCAATTTGGGTTACTTCAATGAGCTTTGAGTAAATAATCTTCCTGTTTCCCAGATAAAGTGTCCTTCGAAAGATCACTTGTCAAAGTCAACAACTTAATCGAGCGATCTGTCTCGTAGTGTTTTGGAGGAAGCTGCTAGGTATATCTATTGGCTGGTCAATCGTTGGACTAGGAAAATTGGAAACAATGTTTGGTTCATAAAGACAAAAGAAAAGGCTTTTTTATCGAGTGGGACAACGAATCGTCGGACGACCCGACAAAGATGTGCTTTTTAACAGCCTGCTTCTGCCAGCAGACCTCTGACATGGTTGAGTAATGACCACCGTCTAAGAAGTTACCTGCTGGTGGGCCGAGTTTGTTCGGTTTAACAACTTACAAAAAAAGTGTGGCGCAACTAATTTTGAAAAATGTAACCTATTTAGATCAAATTATTGCCCCTGAAAAGCCCTATTCACGAAATTTTGGGAAAATCGTTGGAGCCGTTTCCCAGATCTTAAAATATATAATTTGCAGATGATTGCAGAATTAGGATTGTATCAAATATCCTAGGATTTTGGCCAAAAGCTGGCATGTGGCAAAATCGCAGCCATCGTTCATAGGATTTTGACCGAAATTTTATGGTTACCTTACCTATAGAGGTATATTGATGCATTCTCAAACTTTTTGTTCTCGGGACTATTGGCTCAAATTACCGGTATACCGTTACCTTCCGTTCCGTTACCATGATGTACGACCTGACAAATTGTCTAGTGGTGGGTTACCGGTTATTCGTTACCGAAAAATATCGGTTATCCTCTCGAAAGGCCACCCAATTTATGAGTGGGTCGAGTTTTATTACTTGTAAGCGTTTGGTTTGAGATTATAAAAGATGTGAGGGAAAGTATAGCTTTTAAAACTAAGCACATCATAGTATCACAAAGACGCTTGCACAAACACACACACACATACAAAAGATTTCTTTAGTTTATAATCTGTTATTTTTTTACATCTACCCTTTCGTAAAATGTCGATATTCGTAATTGGCTATGTAAGCTGGATTTTTGTGGGTATTAGGTATTACAAAAACTTTAAGACATTTAAACGGGTTTTCTACAGTTAGTTACTCTTTATTTTGCACGCTTGCATGCAAGCCGAATATTATGTACTTTTTTAATTGTTAAGACCTATTGTTACCATATTCTGGCAAATAAATTATCTTGATTCTTGATTCTTAGTTTAGATGTTGTGATACTTGTTAATATAAAAAAAGGAAAATTATGGAAAACGAAGTTGAAAACCGATGGAGTTTTAGTTAGTTGACTGAACATTTTTATCCTATGGGATTTTATTAATTAAAGATCAGTTGCGGGCTTGAAAGGACCGTATTAATTAATTTGTAGAAAAGTCTAGCCGGTTAAAGGTATAGGTAAGCCAATTATTAAGGTAAGGTTTTGTAATATGTAATACTCTGTTCGGTCCCGGGTTCAATTCCCGGTCGACGTTTAATATTTTTTCAATGGCCGTCTGCCTGACGTAAACCCTCTTTGGAAATGCTATTGTAGGTGATTGCCACCATGCGGTTGACCATAGTCGACAGTTATTCAGCCGTAGTCAAAAACTCTACATCACCTTTAACGAAACACCCTGAGTGGACAAAAGGTGACAAAATCCCACGTCAGAGAAGACACTCAAAGGGATAAAAATTTTCTTTGTACCTATTTTATTTTAACTTTGTTTCACTTTGCGGAACCCTAAAACTCGACTTTGTCGCTCTTGTTTGCTGTAACCCGTATCATTTTAGGTAAACCACACACATGCCAGACGATTTTGCGTTTCGTGGCAGCTGCCATTCAGATTACAACTTGAGTTATATTGCACTCACCGTGCATTATCATTCTCATAAATGAAATTATATAGTTGAGAAAAATGTCTAGCATCGATCGGGAATCGAACTCGGGACGTGTAAGGTACCGTCCTACCGCTCTGCCATTGAGTTATCGATGTACCGGTTCATGCTTGCCAGATTTTAATCTCTTAATGCTCGTCTCGAAGCAACGATATTAGCGACTTCTAGTAGAAGGTATTATCTTTGTTGCCGCGATTTTGTGCGGCCGTGTGATGCCGGCCTAGAATAGCATCACCCCAATTCTACCCGTGGGTGTCGTAAAAAGCGACTAAGGGATACTTATCCAGGGAATGGGCAGCAGCGTTCCCTGTGAATTAAATATCTTGCACTGCGCTTGTCAATGCGCCTGCCAAGCGTGGTGAGTATGGCAATACCCCCCAATACGGAGGAGGTCCATGTCCAGCAGTGGACTGTTGTGGCTGTAAAGGTAAGTGCGGCGACGTGTGCCGTGTCATTCGTTTGTTTTGTCATAGAACCGGATCCGGCAAAACACCGGAAAGTGTGTGTGAAAATAGCTTTTGTCGTGTCCCGCATCTTTACACATCAAAGGTCTAAATACGAAACAATTTACTTTTTTACCTTTTTATGTGTATTCGTATCTTAATTTAGTACTCTCATGGAAGTTGCCTACCCTTTATATTTCAACGGGTTTTAAAAAAGTGGAATGAGAGTGATTATGTCCTTGAGTTTTGTCATCATCGTCATTTAGACCAGTACGGCTAGCTTTTGGTGTTTCAAAAATATTAAAGTCGATGGTTTTTTGCTCACAGTTTCTGGACCATTCATTGATTCCAATTTATTAATTTGTGCCATTTTAGGTGTAAGGAAACACACTTTCGTTATCAGTGGAAAATCGACTCAAACAAGGTTTTCACACGGTGCTAAATGTCACAGAGACAATACTGGTAAACTTTCTAATATTTTTCTGTAGGTACTACATACTTAAAAAATAATTTAATTAATGAACTGCCATACATTGTATCGAAAATTTACGGGAGTGTTAAAAGTGGCACAAAATTAAATATGTGCTTTATAGACACAGATTGCACAATCGTACAAAAAATAAGCGACTTTAGAATTTTTGTAAGTTACACCCTCAAATAATGCCAGCCATACCGGACTACATTTGCCTGCTCTTAAGGCCGTGCCGTGATGCAAAAAGGGTTTTTTCAATTCAAAATACTTCCACTTGGAGACGACACCTGACTGTGGTTATTTTATATATGATTTTTGATAATATTTGCTAGATTCTCAACGTTCGCAAAACACGATTCGATTAAATTTTCTCGATAGATTTTTTTTCCAAAGATGACTCCATTTTTTTAGATTTTTTAACTTTATGCCGAAACGGTGCCGAGTTAATCAATGATTTTTCGTAAGCATAAGCACATTATACTTATCTAGTTCGTCAACGTTTGTTTTTTTATTTAAACCTTTTATTGCTGAAAAATCAATAATTTTAGATTTTCAACAATGGCTTGGTTTCAACCATTTTGCGGACGGGTCGCTCTGTCCCTCTCTAACGCGTACGCACGAATTGCAAACAGGCCACACCCAGCTGCGCTCTCATTCCACCGTGGCCACTGCCAGAGAGAGGTCATGTCGCACGCTACGCCGAAACTGACAGCTTTAGTCGTAATTTCAGTTATTTGTTTATTTGAAGATTGTGTACATTTTTAGGCTTCTAAATATTTTGTAGCAACTCTGAATAAGATACGTTACTAGAATAAGTGTATCTAGTTTTTTTACGCCAGTTTACGGTCTTGTGCCTCCCTCATCCAGTGTACCCATAACGTAAATTTGAAAAATAGGCAACAAATCAAAAACAATCATATCGAGGAAGAGCAAAAAATATTTTTTCAACGCGAAAATAGCAAAATGCAAAAAAAAATAAGGAAATAAGTACATTTAGCATTACGTGAACGTTTTTTTGTTCATATTTATCAAGTACTATCTATTTATGTCAAAAAGTAATTTATATTTATGTTAGTGAAGAAGAGTAGTTGGCTTTTTTTACCAATATAACGCGTACACATTATGTAGACACCTTATTGGTAGAGAGAAGTGTTGATGCATGGAATCTCCTCTAATCAATTGCATTACTTTGAACGAGTTTGCCGATACCTACTCTAAATTTTGATACCTCGGTCAGATGTGACTTTGGCTTAGTGGCTAGAGTGAGTGAATTCTTTTGCATACTAATAAACTTTGGGTACTCGGATCAAATCCCCGAGATATAGTTTTTTTGTATTTATTTTGTTGGATATTTTTAGGTTTTCTCTTTTTACACTCTTACTTTAATCATAAATTCTTAATACTTATTACTTATTCTTTCATGTTTTTTTTTTAACTTGATGAAAGATTATTGGATTATTATTTATTGCTTATTATCAATGAAAACCATCATAATTACATGAACATATTCACAAAATAATTTAAATAATTTTTATATTTACCTATTAGATTAGATATTTACAGATTTTTAAATTGCGAAAATATCTGCCACAGACGTCACGGAGACTTTGGCACAGAGTACATAGAGTCGCCAATACATTATTTTTTGATGACCAAACAATGTACGTACCTATCAAAAAATTTTTTTACTTGGTATTATTAGTAATGGCTTTCACAGATAGTCAATTTTTAAATATATTTATAGGTACTAAAATTTATATACAATGAAATTTGACTAGTGACCGACACCTCAGGAGGGCTGGTGATAAGGTTCAACTTTCCCAAGGAACAAAGGACGAAATATAAAAAAAAAATTGATCTCCGCTAGTAACTCAAAATATCAGCTGATTGGCAACTTTGTTTGTATGGGAGGTACATTTTTTTTCATATTTTGACCCATGTTCGTTGGACAAAGTTGATTCTTATACCAGCCCGATCTGAGATTTCACTATCAGCCATTAGTAAAATTTCACCTAATATTATGGGCATTGAATTCTAACACTACTTCCAGTACCTAGATACTTACATTTTTTTTTTGCAATATTGGAAACCCGACCTTCAGTTGAGAAATGTCAATTATTACAAAAAGGGACAATGATAATGACATAAGTGTGAATATACAGCAGTGCAGATGCCGAAGGTCGCATGTTCAAATCCTGTCAGCGGTGGAAATTTTATTGTCTACACGACAGTGCCCCCGCCGAGTCGAGCGCAAAGCAAACACTACCGTACCATCCTTTACTGGAACAATTTCGCCGCATTTTCAGGCACCTATCTCGTCGTAAGCTATAATCACATACTTAAAAGCCAAAATTTCAAGTCCGTAAAGGCAAAGTTTCAGATTTTAGACAGACACTCACTCACTCATGATCATCAAAATAGAACTAGTGCTTCCCATAAACTCAGAGAGCTGAAATTTAGTACGGAGTTAGATTTTAATGACCACATAAAGGAAAACTTTAAAAACTAGGATAATCGAAGGTTAGGCCAGGCACACCACTAGGAGCCCAGCTACACCATAGGAGATACAGATATGACTTCAAAGCAAAAGTTGTTCACCTTGATGGGATTCTTCTATAAAAATAAGTGAAATCCCACCAAAAACATTCTGTAAAAAAGTAGCCAAGTCTCGATGGAGCTGCTTGTTTATCTCTAAAAAGTAATCAAATCTAGGCAAAGTCTAAGGTTCCTTGATACTATATCTTTAATAAGACTGGCCGTTGAATGTTACGTTTACATACGATTTGTGGATACAATTTAACGTCCAGTCGTATAAATTTAACTATATGAATAAAGAAATAGCATCAAGGAACCCTAGACTTGGCATGACTTTGCCTAGATTTGACTTTGGCTAATATCTCATCAAATATATTTTTATTATTAATAATAAATTAACTAGGCTGATGATGTAACTCATAGAGCAGACTGGAAAAATGGCGGGAAAAGCTGGAGAGTGTCGGCCTGAGAAACGGCAGAACGGAGACTGAATATAAGAAATGTTTTGTGATTTCGGCGGTCTCTCTGGCTATGCTCCAGTAGCGCTAAATGGCGTTACCTTACCAGTCTGCTCCGACTTCAGGTACCTCGGTTCACTTTTGCAAGGCGATGGTGAGATAGACCGGACTATCAAGCGCAGAATAAATGCAGGATGGATGAAATGGCGACAGGTCACGGGCACAGTGTGTGACCCCCGAATGCCCCTCAAACGGAAGGGCAAGATTTACAAGACGGTGGTCAGACCTGTCGCCATGTATGGATCTGAGTCTTGGCCTGCAAAAGTGACGGATGAAAGACGATTACATGTATCTGAAATGAGAATGTTGAGATGGATGTGTGGTGTGTGTGACAAGAATGGATAAAATAAGGAATGAGTATATTAGAGGAAGTTTAAAAGTTGCACCTGTGACAGAAAAGTTGAGAGCTAGCCGCGAGGAGGGATGGAATGGAAATCATGTGACGAAAAAGGTAATGAATATGAATGTGGATGGACGCAGAAGGAGAGGAAGGCCTAAAAAAGTTTGGATGGATTGTGTAAAAGATGATATGAATCAAAAAGGTGTAAACGAAGATTTGACGACTGATGAATGGAAGAGAAAGACATGTTGCGGCGACCCCAAATAAATTGGGATAAGGGCAGTCAGATGATGAGTAGAAACCCTACAAAACCCTAAAAATGGCTATGCCAGTCGGTATCTTTTCAGTAAGACTACTTTAAAATATTTTTTTTTATAACTCGGACATTAATGCCTAGTCCTCTGATATGATTGCCTAGGCGTTTATGACGTTGTGGCGTAGACATCTGACATCGTTGCGTAGGTCTCCGTTTCATTGATTTATGTCTAGTGACGTCACACATGCGAGCCCGGTCGAGCGTTGCTAGCCTATTTAAAATATATATATATATCGAGACGGCAGGATAATCAGAAAGTGAGGTTAGCAGCTAATATTATTTTTACAATTAAATTGCACGTGAAGTTTTAAAAACTAAGGAATGCGGAAAGGTCATTTGAGCCATGCGCTACGCCCGACCGCCCAAACAACACTGATTCAAAATCTCTCTCTATTTCAAAAGATGTCCTTCACACAAGGAACCTTTTCAAGTGTCCACATGTCGGCTACATGCCTCGACAGACGACGCGGCGCC